GAAAAGGGCTATCCCTCTATATATAAAGCAGTAAGGATGTTTGTCTGTCTGTCTGTCTGTCTGTCTGTCTGTCTGTCTGTCTGTCTGTCTGTCTGTCTGTCTGTCTGTTTGTAACCACTAGGCTCACTCGCTACGTAGACCCATGAAAATACTTGGGACATGGGCCCGGATGGGTGGTTGTCCTTAGGTCGTGTAAGGGTAGGCAGGGCTAGGCTAAAAGTGATTACGGTAGTGGGCAGGGCCCGACCCGATGGGCAGGGCTTGTTATTATTATTACATTATTGACAGGTTTCGCATTGAGCCAATCGTCGTAAAACTATTATAGTTCAGAATCACGCAAGGGACCTCGAGAATTTGATTTATCCTTCAGAAATACCCTTTTTTCTCGGGGAATTTTCATTGAAAATATTTTTGCATAATGTTTATAGTATGGTATAGTGTGTTGGAAACGACCCGGTGAAGTTGCATATGGCCCGCTTGCCAAAGGGCGCGGTTGGGGGAACGAATCCCGGTTGTGCGTTATCCAGGCCAACCAAACCTTCCGTGACCCTTGGGTGGCTTGATTGAGTTCAGACGTCCGGGATGACGGAAACACCGACCGAGTTCTACAAAGGCTTGAATTTATTGTACAGGCCAAAGCGCCTTCGAAGTGCCGTTGCGATTTAGAATCGAAGTAGAATGTGTGGCGCATCCCAAGGATGGGTTGATCGAGGCGAATGCTTGGTTCTTCTCACAAAATGTTATTTGAAGATAGCTCTTTTCCGACTTCTATTGACAAGATGGCCGCCCACGATTAATCCCGAGCTGCCTCTAGAGATTTGAGCAAAGAACTTTGATGCCTCCCAGGCTGTTTTCCATGACAACGCTTATCTGTCAGTGTGGCGTTGGCTAATTGACCTTTTATGGAATGCTTGCACAAGCCAGCCAGAAGGCCATCTGACTACAATCAGCTCGAATTTCAGTTCGGTCAAGCTCTCGACGGCCATGTATGCGGTTCACCTCAGTTGGTGTCACGTCATCAACACGCGGCCAGCTCACTTCTGGACGTGATCTCTGACAGACAGCCCAAAACAGTTGCGTCCGCTGACGAGACCAGCACTACGTTCCTTGATTTACCAAGAGAGGTAAAGTGGAATCGATATTGATACCCGTTTTAGAAGAGGCAGAGGGTTGTGCGAGGGCAGAAACGGCCAAATTGAGTCGACCGAGGCCGGAGGGGTTCCGCAGTATATTTTGGTAACTGGTGTTCTAGCTGATGAGGGGGGGGATATCGATTAGTGAGCTGTAATTGTGCAATTAGAAAGATAGACAACTGGCAATAACATCATTCCAGTGGCGAACATATGGTAGCAAGCATTTTGTGGAGGCCGTCGTCTTTTTTGTGTGTGGTTGCGATTGGAGGCATTCTGGTTTTCTTTAGAAGGCGATTTATTTTTCTCCTGTTGGGTAGCCAGCGTACCGGAAACAATTTCTTCATTGCATTCGGGGTCTCGCTTCGTGCTTTCGAGCGCTGGTTCTGTGGTAGTTCTGGAGACGTAAGTGAGAGTTTTTAGAGCAGATGAAGGTACGTTATAGTGCACGACAACTACTGGTGGGTGAGCTGGGGTTCAGAGTTCTACTTGCTTTGGGGGGTGCTTGCGTATGGCGGATGGCTCCAGAGCGACACATGTAAACCTCAGACGGACCCCCTGGTTTGTCCATTCTGATGAGAAAATTTCGCTGTTTAGAGTTGGAGAAGAGCGGTTAGACAGGGTTGACCCGTCGATTGTCTTTGTGTGGGGAATTGTTTCGGGATTCCTTCTGTCGGGGTGTCTCCGGCCCGTGTTTTATAATGCTGGATGGCCAGATATTGGGTCGGAAGATGCGAGTAGTGGCAAGTAAGGTGCTGCTTACGACGATTGCGGGGATGAGGTCTCGGGCCGGATTCTGGGGGTGTATGCGAAGGTATTAGCTTGAGATGTGAGTTGAGAGGCGTTCGATTCATGGCCAGGGGTTTTATGCGGGATACGTGGGGTAGAATTTTGGGATTTTCTTGCGGTCGGCGATCGTTACGATTATTTTCTTGTAAGAGTATGGGTAACGTGGGAGAAGTATGGGAGAAGTAGCCGCTGGGTTACAGCGTGCGGGTCAGGGTGATCGACCCTGAATCGTGGCGAAGCAAGCTGCCCTCCCAGGGATGGTTGTTGTAGTAGTTTTATCTGGGCCAACAGGTTGGTTTTGAGCTGTCCTGTCTGGAGGACCAAACATTGATTTCCATTTGGTGGCTCTGCGGTGAATTGTATCGGCAAGGTCTTTGAAGATGCCGACGTACAATGTAGTGGGAGTAGATCCCTGGGGGTGTGTATGAGCCAAGGATGGAGGCGATGAAGACGGGAAATAGCTTCATCTTTTTTTTATAGCCAACGTAACCAACTTTTAGGCTCACGAAGCCCTTCAATGCATCATCGATCGTGAGGATCGTCTGTGGCAGTCGCTGTGCGAGTTCCACTTCACTCCTGCCCAGATCGATCAGCGAAAAACTCCTGATAAGACTTGGCGAAAGACGTTCTTTGAGCTAAAGAAATACATCGGCATACGAGAGGTTGGTTTGTCCCCGGCAGTGCCATAAAACTGGGAATTTATTTTATGGCCGTTTTCAGGTATATGCGGATCTCATCAACATTTGTTGTCATTGTAAGGCGTTATTCTGGAAGACATTGGGACATCCCTGCCTCCGACCAGGTTCACCTTCGGTGCGGGTAACTCCACAACAATTCGTCGACATGCTTATTTACCTCTAACTCGTACCCTAACCCCCTAATCACTCTTCTTCACGCAATGTACACAGCACTTCAAATCACCTTGCCATTCTGTTACGTGAAATTCCGTTGTTATACAGCTGCTTGCCGATCAATGGCAGCACTTACCATAGCTCCTCAAGTCCATCTGTTATCAGTGATACATATTGATCACCTAGTCTTATCATCCATATATGTGAATGTATGTGATCCCGTTGGAACATCGATTTATGTGATAAGGATCAAAGTTGAATTCCCGTAACGCTTTCTATCAACATCTTTTACTGTCTCTCTACATTCACCGGTATCGATCGTTATCGATTTTTACAGTATGTAACCAAATCTGCACTACATATGTATTTGTTTTGCTTCGTATTCTTCTATTATTTTTCTGTCTCACCCACATCACACCCACTTCAGTTATGCACGGGTAGGCCGTCCCGATGATAGTGTTTCTCCATATTTGTTGTATGTATTTTGGATTTTTTTTGTAGTTTTTTTAGAGAAATTTATGCATTAGTTCGGCGTTAGTTGTGTTGTGCATCTGATTCGAACTGATAAGAATTTTTCGCATAATTTTTGTTAATTATCTAATTACCTATTTTTTCATAATGGTCTCATAGTTAGGTCCGCTTGCAGCAGCAAGGAACATCTCCTTTGAACCAGCGAAAGCTCACAAGGGAGGTCTTTCAGGACATGGAGCGCTTTTTCGAAATGGCTTTTCTGCATATTGTAGGGGCTCATGCGAGGAACACAGAACCATGATCCATTTTTCCTGAACGCCTCCAGGAATGTCAAACAGTGTTGAAGAAATGGTCCAGAGTTCGATCCCCGGTGATGACTAATTTTTGCAACATCAGTTGGGCGCCCCCAGATTGCCGCCAAATGGCGC